ATTGTTTCATACTGTGGTTTTTTTAACCTCAGTTTGAACCACTCTCAGGGAACCATGATTTATTTAGTGGTATCAAACTGTGTTTTATTAGATCAACTGTATTGCTGGGAGAGAGGTTAGACAAGCGTTCAGAAACAAAATGCCCCCTTTACATTTGGGGAAAAAAACACATTGAATTTTATTAGTAGATGCTAAGAGTTATGAATCCAAAAAGATGACAAAGCCAGTAGGAAAATACAGAGCGCCTGAGCGAGGGACTAACATAACAGGGATGGGGGTGAGGAGGAGAACGCAACTAGGTTACAGAAAACACAATGTTAGCCAACTAAGCAGGGACAGAGGGTGGGGGAAGGGAAGGGGAGAGGAGGGAGGGAGGGAGGGAGGGGGTTTGCGATGCTGAGAGAGAAAGAAGATAGATACTAGGGCTGTGCAAAATTTCACTGGCTGTTTCGATTCGACACTGTTTTGACTCATTTCGAGCTTGAAACAGTGAAATCGAATCGAAATGAAGGGCTTCGAAACAGCCTTGAAACAAAACGAGGCTAGTTGAAACATTTCAAAAGTTTTGAAACATTTTCAGTTTCAAAGCCAGCAGCGAGGTGGTGAGAGACAGGAGAGACAGGAGTGAGCCTGGGCTCAGTTCCCCTCCCCAGCCCTGTGATCGGGCGGAGGAGCACTGCGATCGATGGGCCGATGGCAGCACCGGGGATGGGAAGTCAGCCCAGTGAGGCTGACTCCCCGCCCCCAGCACGATCTAGCACTGGGGATGGCAAGTCTCCCCGTCCCCAGCGAAATGTCGAAACAGCCTTTCTGTTTCGAGGGAACAGAACAGAACAGCGTTTCGAATCTAAATGAAGTTCAAAACGGAACGCTGTTCTGTCGAACCGTCGAAACTCAAGGTGAAATGAAACAGTGCCGTTTCGCACAGCCCTAACAGATGCACACAAACCCATACAATGGTTCACAATGGTGGAGGAAGTAGGTTGAAGAAAGTTTCTCAGTCCATATAGTTTCATCACGGGGGTCCGCTTCGGGTGGAGCGGGGTGCTCCGTTGCTGAAGATTCTTCTCGAAGTGAAGTCCATCAGGTGCAGAGGGGGGTTCAGGCAGTCCCCTCTGGGTCCAGTCCGGTGGCAGTCAGTCTGGTGCGGTTGGTGTACTGGCGGGGGCCCATAATGTGCTCCACATGGATGTCTTGGGACCAGTGGATCGTGTCGGACACCATGAGGCAGCGCGTCAGCTTGACGTAGCAGCAGGAGACATGGCAGGCACGCAGGACGCTCTCATTGTTGGGGTCCCAGGCTCCGAGCGTTCCCATGAAGGGTTGACTGTCACGTCATAACCACGGCCCCTCAGGATGTCGGCCAGCGGGGCATACTTCTCCCGCTTGCAAGCCCAGGTGTTGGTGAAGCTAAAGACCAGGTAGAGCAATTATTTTTGTTTAATCCCATTATAGAAATGAAAATGGCCCTTTTAAAAAGGAAGGAGGCAATAAACCTGTGGAACAAAGGGGTTATAGCTACAAACAAAGAAAAAACAACTGAAAGAGATCAACCCAAGTAGGAAAAAGAAACAGTTTAAAAGCGACGAGAGCCGTCACTGCCTTCAGAGAACACAGAAGTAAAGAAGGAGAAAGTAAGTCAAAATGAGCCATTTTCTGTGTTGAACCCATGGCTTTCACTGTCTGGTAAAGTTACGGATCTCATTGCCAGGCCCATGTTCTGAAGGGATTGTGTGGGTTTCCCTTAATGACAAGGACTGTGTGGTGAGAGCTGGAGTAGTTGTTCTTTGAACACTGTTCTTCCACTGGTGATTTAGGACATTTTGTGCCTGCAAGTTCGCCTGACATGTCTCTCAACTATGCTGCAGATCCAGTAAAAGATACTACCAAGCAAAACCTACTTCTTAACATAGTCCCTGGAGCAGCAAAGCTACCAGACTACACTATTCTCAGCAAAAGCAGAATGCTGCCCTCTCCTGGCAGTAGCCATCCATTACTAGACTCCTCTCATGAGCTGTTAGACTGGGCAGGTAGCAGAGGCACAAGAAGAACTGATTTTAAAAAGATCCATTAAATGAAACAGGGAGGCACTGAGGTCCCGGAGGGGAGGGGAGTTGAGAGTCCAAGACAAGTGGTCGTTCCTTAAGGAGACGATCCTCCGAGCCCAAAGGGTGACAATCCCCACATGGATCAAAGGGGGCAAGAGCACTCAAAAGCCCCCATGGCTCACCAAAAGCATCCAGGAACGTCTCAAAGCCAAAAAGGAGGCATACACATAATGGAAGAGAGGAGCCATCACCAAGGAGGATTATACCTCCATTGCTCGAGATTGTATGGGAGCTGTTAGGAAGGCTAAGGCAGAGATAGAACTGGGACTAGCGACCTGGATCAAGGATAACAAGAAGTCATTTTTTAAATACATAGGGGGTAAAAGGAAGGTACCAAGTAACGCGGGGCCTCTGCAGAACATGCTTGGTATTCTGGTGGTAGCACCAGGCGACAAAGCTAATCTCTTTAACAGAGTCTTTTCTTCCATGTTTCTGAGCGGGGACAGGGACATCCCTCGCGCTGGGAATCCGGACCGACCCAGGGGAAGTGCAGGGAACTTCTGGAGGGACTAGACATGTTCAAATCAGCAGGTCCTGATGATCTCCACCCCAGAGTGCTGAGGGAATTGGCAGGGGTCATTGTGGGACCCCTGGCACAGCTTTACGAGCACTCATGGTGCTCTGTCCAGGTGCCGGAGGACTGGAAAAGGGCCAAAGTGGTCCCCATTTTCAAAAAAGGGAGGAAGGAGGACCCAGGAAACAATAGGCCCATTAGTCTTACCTTGGTCCTGGGGAAGCTCTTTGAGAAAATTATCTAGGAGCACATCTGCGAGGGACCAGAAGGGGAGATTACGCTCAGGGGCAACCAGCATGGGTTCATTAGGGGCAGGTCCTGTCAGACCAACCCGGTGGCCTTCTATGACCAGGTCACAAAAGCCTTGGACACAGGTGTCACAGTGGACGTAGTCTTTCTGGACTTTAGGAAGGCCTTCAACACTGTCTCTCACCCCATCCTCATTAAAAAATTAGGCAACGGTGGAGTTGACGCCTACACAGTCAGATGGGTCACAAATTGGCTGGAGGGCCACACCCAGAGAGTGGTGGTAGATGGGTGTTTTTTGACCTGGAGGGATGTGGGCAGTGGGGTCCCCCAGGGCTCGGTCCTCAGGCCCGCACTGTTCAATATCTTCATCGGTGACTTGGACGAGGGGGTGAAAAGCACCTTGTTCAAGCTCACAGATGACACTAAGATGTAGGGAGAAGTGAGCATGCTAGAAGAGAGGGACAAGCTACAACTAGATCTGGACGGGTTACAGAGGTGGGCAGATGAGAATAGGATGGGTTTCAATACGGACAAGTGCAAGCTATTGCACCTGGGGAGGAAAAACCAGTAGCATACCTACAGGCTGGGGAACTCCCTTCTTGTCAGTGCAGAGGCAGAAAGGGATCTTGGAGTCACTAGCGATTCCAAGATGAACATGGGCCAACAGTGTGGGGATGCGGTCAGGAAGGCTAACCGCACCTTGTCATGCATCCATAGATGCATCTCAAGCAGGTCCAAGGAGGTGATCCTCCCCCTCTATGCAACATTGGTGAAGCCGCAGTTGGAGTACTGCGTCCAGTTCTGGGCACTGCACTTCAGGAGGGATGTGGACAGCATCGAGAGGGTCCAGAGGAGG